TACAAATACATAAAAACTCAAAATATCTGCATTAAAAATTACGAAGTAAATCTTAAACACTTATTTCCTCGAAAAAATTCCAGAAAGGATTAAGCATGATTTAATTCGCAATAATAAATGAAGGCATTATTTTTGTGTTGCGAAGCTTAGTCTCTCTAGATTGGCAACAAATCTACAATTCTGCTGCTTCAAATATAAACAAATATGCCCGCCATGTTATTTAAAACTTAACCGCATTTAAACAGCTTTTAAATTGTTGATAATTGTACAAATATTGCTTCCAGAATTATGAAAGGCATAAAAACCTTAACCGTGTAGGGTTTATATTTATTTTAACTAACATTTATTTTAAGTTTAAACTATCTTTCCTGTCAAGCCTTACTTTTCCCTGGAACTGCCAATGCCAGAGTATGTAAATTTTTAGTAGAACGCGCAAGGATTCAAATTATCTGCGGAAGTATTCTGAGTTAAATAGAAAGGGGTGCTACTTTGGTAAACGGTTGCACGGATTTTGGCGATTTTTTGGCGAGCGATACGACTTATAGTAAACCCATTGCTAGACAAGTTATTTATGGTAACCGATACTTTGTTGTCATTTTATTTAAAAAATAATGCGTTTTATTATGCATAAATTCCGTGTTTTAAATATTATTTATGACTTCTAAATAATAAAAATGAATTTAATTTTGCATTTTATTTGAAATAAAAAATTTTATTGTTTATGATATTTTATGGAATTTTATGTTGTGAGTGATGTAATGAATGACGTCACATTATTTTAAACGTAATTGGTTTTAATATCTATAAATTTAATCTAATGTTTTAAACATTATTTATGGCTGTTAAATATTAAAACACAATTTAATTTTGCATTTTTTAAATATGATTTTATTATGAATGATTATTTAAATAATTTTAATTCTAGGCGTGATGTAATCAGCTCCTGATTGGTTACTGAATATTTGTGCATTACCGCGCCATTTTAAAATTTTATTATTCATCTCTTCGAATTCCTCAGATTTCAAAGCGAATGGATGTCTCCGTTTCGAAGATGAATGTTGTTAGTGGTAATTACCAAGAATTGTTGGTATCGGCATAAAAAAATTGCCGTTTGAGACCTTATTTTGGCCAACCTGGATTTCCTAATCAAAGATTTATTTATTGTTACAAGGGTCAGAGGAAATTTATTTAAAATATTTGAAGGAAACCTCGCTAATTGCTTCTTCAATGAAGTGCGAGAAATGTGGATAACAGATGAAGATTTTTTTTTTCCTGGTGCTTATCAATATGCGTATAGTAAAATGCTTAAAAAATGTAAGTACATATTTTTCTTTTACTTTATTATTGTATACTTCAATTTTTATTAAAAATTTAATACATATTTTTGAAATTTCCTGAGATATTTATTGCCACATGTTTTAATGTTAAATAATTATATCCTATAAAACTTATTTTAAAGGATTTGAATTTAAGTAACTGAAAAATTTTAATTCTTTTAAACGTTGGTATGATGTTTTCAATTCAATATTCAATTTAAGTAATATTTTATTCCAATTAAATGTTGGCGCAATGTTTTTATTCTATTATATGAAAGTAAGAATTTAACCTTACTTTAGCATTTTATACTCTTAGTAAATGTATTTATTTATATTTGTCAGCCATCCTTAATGAAAACAAGGTTTTCAACAAAAAATTAATCCATTATTTTTAACGATATATTTATTTATTTATTTATTAACTTTCGAATACTTTATATGCGTAAAATACGTAAAAACAGCATTTTTCAAGATGGCTGACGACTGTAAAAACCGCGCCAACAATTGCGCCAATGTAAATCGCCAAAAATCCGTGCAACCGTCTACCAAAGTAGCACCTAAAAAGGAAACGAGTTCGAAGTGTGCTTTTCTTACTTCACGAGCGCGGAGGTGGTTAGTTAGAAATTGAAGAACCACGCGTTTCGGCCTATGTGCTTGCCTCGGCCAATTGTTAATCTTTCAACGTAATATTCGGAGTTTGCTGAATTATCAGCGGTATTTTAGAACGTGGTGCTGTTAGTTACGTTTAGAGAGCCTCGTAGTTAGTTACTTGTTAATATCTCTTTTCAGTTTATTATTTTTATTTTACCGCCGGGTCGGCGTAGTTTGTGAGCGTCAAGAGCACGCATTTGTAATTTCTAAAGTTGAATAAAAAGGGACTTAAACCCTTCTCAAGACTCTGTCTAATTTCCAGTTTCAGCAGTCACCACTTTGTTGCGTGCAGGTTGGAGGCGCGCAACTTTACAACCGGAAGATAAAAACAACATAATTCAATCATTTTTAAAGCAAAAAATATACAATTTACAAACATATAAGAGTAAAGAAACTGAGATCACTGAGTCGGGTAACAGAGTGAATATATATATATAAATATTTATATACGTTTGGTGCGGCCGATTGCAACCAAAATACGAGGTGCACATCTACATGTTATAGCAGTCCTATATACAAAATTACAACTTTCTGAGGCTACTCGTTTTTTAGTTATGCGAGATACGTACGTCAGAATTATTTTTAAAGCAGTTTTATAATTTTTTTAAAGGAAAAGAGTCTTTTATTCTGTCCTTACGTACAGATATCACGCAAAAACATCGTTAAATTGCATTCGGTAGCGGTCAAAATGGATATTTTCGTTGAAATATTTTGCCTGAAACTTTTCGCGATTACAATACTTCCTTTTTACTTCGTACAAGCAAGTAAAAATGTTACAAATCGTTAAAGAGAATAAATTAGAATTTGTAATTTAAACTGACAATTTCTAATTTATTCTCTTAAATGATATCTAGCATTTTTGCATGAAAATTCTTTATCAGTAAACTCAGTTTAATTTGATTAACATCAGGAAAGAATAATCTAAACTTTAGGCAAAAAATGAAACTTTTATCTCATCGAAATATATGAGGAGATAGATAATCTGTTAGCATAACAAAAACTATAAATACTTTTATGATATTTGTATTTTGTCTGCAGAAAGCTCACAGAATGACAGGCAAATGGTAGATTCTCTATCTGCATTCAAAGAATTTACATTTTGTCTGCTGTTTACATTCGTAATATACAATGGCTCCTAAAAGTGTTCGTACACTTATGATTTTCATTGAAATAGAGCTCTATCCATTAATTAAAAGTAAACTTTCTGAGTGAGATTTTAATAATAAGATCTATAATCAATTCGTAACAAAATTACACGAAATATTGTTAAAATATAGCGAAACTTTATTTTTAAGAAATTAATAATCAAAAAATGACAACATTTGATCTCACAAAATTCTTCGTACATTTCAAAAAAATCTTAACATATTAGTAAATATTTTCATTTTTCGTTAAATTAATATTAGTAGGATATCCTTTAGCGTCCACAACAACTTTTAAGCGTCTGGGAATAGATTTTACTAGTTTTTTTTTTTTTTTTTTTTTTAATTTCTGTATCAATGTTCATCCATTCTTCCATCATGGCTGTTTTGAGTTCGCTTTTCGTTTTGATGTTGTGTTTTCGTACTCTAACCTCCAGCTCTTTCCAAATGTATTCTATGGGGTTTAAATCTGGCGACCTGAGGTGGCGTTTTCAAAACCTGTGGACACTTATAGAGATATTACAGGCGAACGTTGAGAGCCGTATACTTAGGATCGTTATGATGATTAAAAATAAAGTTTTTTCCAATACCCAAATTTTGGGCTGATAGTTTTAAATTTTCTCTTAAAATATTTAAATAAAGAGAATGATTCATTATTCCATCAATAAATACCAAATAACCTAGTTTGATGCTGTCATACCCCCCCCCCCCCCACACACACACACACAAGAACACCACCGCCATGCTTAACTGTTCCAACTAAGTTCTTAGAATGAAGTTCCTCATTTTTTCTTCTCCATACAGTTACTGGACCATCGGAACCAAAAATGTTAAATTTGCTTTCGTCAGCAAATAGGACATTATTCCAGTACGTTTCGGGTGTATTTATCATTGAGTTCGCGAATGAAAGCCTAAGCTTTCTGTTTTTCTCACTAACAATTTTTTTTACAAGCAGAACGCCCATGTAATTCAGCTTCTCCGAAAACTCGTCGAACAATTTAAGGTGAAATTGAAGTAGAAAACTTTGCATTAAATTCTGCAGAAACTTTTACAGCACTCAAGCTTGGGTTTTTCACAAATTTTTTAATACTAAATCTCTCATCACGTTTAATTAACTTTCTCGGTTGACCTTTTCTTACCTTGTTTTCAATCCGATTTTCTTCTTTAAAGCGTTTTATCACATATTGCACTGTGGAATGGGATAAATTAACTAATTTAGCGATATTTCGAATTGATTTACCACTACTATGGTGAAAAATTATCAATTTTCGAATGCTGTTTGTAATTTCTTTACGACTGCGACCCATTTTTCAATAATAAATAGAATATTATGAAGTAAAAAATAAAAAATTAAAGCAAACGATTTTTTAAATTCCACCACAATGCAAAAATTGAAAAAAGTGGCAAACGATAATTCTGTCTTTGATTTTATCCAAAAATATTTCAGCGTACGAAGACTTTTGTGAGATAAAATGTTTATCATTTTTTTATTAGTAATTTCTTAAAAATAAAGTTTCGCTATATTTAAAAAATATTTCATGTAATTTTTTTACGAAGAGATTATAGATCTTATTATTAAAATCTCATTCAGACAGTTTACTTTTAATTAATGGATAGACCTCTATTTCAATGAAAATCATAAGTGTACGAACACTTTTGGGAGCCACTGTAGCTTTATTAGAACAAAAAACATAGAGTCATCAAATTCTGTTAACATCTAATTTTTTGTCAAAAATATTCAATAATAAGTTAAAATTTGCAGTAAATTATTTACAACCCATAGCGCAAAATATTTGTCTATAGATTCTATTATTAAACGAAGAGCCTTCTTAAAAGCGTTTCAAAAAAAAAAAAAAAAAAACATATTATATATATATATATATATTCTTACCGGCAAAGGCAGACGAACTTCTATATACGTAATAAAACCCGAAGAATCCTGTAACAGAGAAATTACCGCTAAAGCTGATAACAGGGAGAAAATCATAGCTGTGCTTGCGAATGTCAACCAAGCGTACGATGCCTCCTCTGAAACAAGTTTTCGAAACCACTTTCTTATATACTCGAATTTAGGCCAATCAGACAGCATTGATAAAGATATGATATTCTCCGCTTGTACGTCAGCTGTTTCTTCTTCGGATATTATACTTGAGAAACGTTTTCTGCGAAGTTTGCACAATTTTTCGCCCATGTTTTCTTTTCTTTAATTAAAAAATAACAGTTATAAGAAAAGAAGCATACCTAATGAATTTATTTCATATGATTTAAAATTTTGAAAGCTGAAATATTTTCAGATTTTAATTGAAAGAAGTGGTAAAATTTTGAAAAAAGTTAAGTAAATAAATGTTCCTTTTGGTGAGCACGTTTAATCATCAAGTAACACGAGAAGCTAGTTGCAGTTATGAGTTTCGTTCTGAAGCAACAGTGTGATAAATATAAGCTCAGGTTTAGCATTAATAACATGTGAATTACGGAGTCTCATTTCAACAGAAATTCAAAACAGTGTTTTAAATCAAGATGACAGGATCGAATAAAATAGGAAAATTCTTAGAAGCGTATCATTATTAAAAGACTGAGTTCATATGCTCATAATTTTACGTGATGTAGCAAGGACTGAACACTAAAGGTTAAACTATGATTTCACGGCATTCGCAGAAAATCTTGTATTAGCCCCAAAAGGACGTTAGTCAGAATGTGATATTAGTTTCGAAACGGTATTTTGCATCGAAACTCTTAAATGCGTTATATCACATTTCAAATTGTTGCCACCAACATTATCACCCTGTATTATATTTTAAGAAATTAAATAATGAAGAACCTGCTTATATTTATATATATTTCTTACATTATGAAAAAACAATGGTGCCTAGAGCCATCAAATTTTGAAGAATGGAGTCCTCCACCCGCACCTGGAAGCCCGTATTTGGAATTTATTTTATTGTTTATTGCATATTTTGCAAACATTTAACAAATTTTCGGTTAACAAACTCAACAATTTCTAAGTTAACAGTGGCAATACTGCACGGAATAAAATATTTTTATCCCCAGCGCGCGAAACTCTCTATTAGAAACTCTAAAGATGTGCTGTTTTTGAAAATTTTTAGTCCAAAGAGCTATCAGCCCAAATATTCTCGAAACGTGTATGTGCGTGTAAATAATAATAATAATAATAATAATAATAATAATAATAAAACCTTTGGACATAATACTGTTGCGTACGTACTGGTTCGCAATAAATTGAATGCACAAGTCCGATAAAACGTCAATAAAATTTATTCTTATTCCAAGAAATAAAACAAAATGCTGAAATTTTTCCTCACAGATATTCGTACAATATCACAATATCACACAGTAGTTGTATTTTAAACTACTAAAACGTTAAATACACTCATGTCCATAAATTAAGGATAATGCAAAATCAGGCAAAGGAAGAGTTAGAAGCAAAACAAATTTGACTTATTTGTAAAGCTTATTTATTAAACAAAAGGTAAAGAGCAAAAAAAGATGCTATATGTTTGATATTATTAAAAAATTAGCAATTTTTCTTCCTGGAGCAAATAAAAAAAAAAAAAAACTAATTACAAAAAACTAATATTACATAGTTGGTATGATTGTTAATGCATTGTATGTCTCTCAGACGATGCAATACACTCCGTACAACGCCTAGGCATGCTGAGTATCAAACTATCGATCTGATCTTGGGGGATATTACATCACTCAAAAAGCAATGCTCTCCGAAGTTCCGATAGACATGTAGGAGGGGTTGACGGGCTTGCAACTCGTCGGCCAAGCATGTCCCCCCACCCCCCCCCCCCCCCCCCCCCCACGTGCTCTACTGGATTCAAGTCCCGTGAGAATGCTGGCCAGTCCATACGGGTGATATCATCCAATTGAAGGCATTCGCTTACGATGTTTGCACGGTGAGGACCGGCTTTGTCATCTATAAACACAAATTGTGCGCCCATGGCGCCCCGAAACAAACGTACATGTTGTTCCAGAATGACGTCCCGATAGATTTCGCTTGTCATGGTTCCAATTTGAACATGCAGTCAGTTCTGGAACCCAGAATAATTCCACCCCAAACGAGCACTCCTGGCACCGTAACGGTGTCGTTCAATGATGTTTCTTGGTGGTAACGGGTACCTGGAGCTCTCCATATGAACGTCCGGCGAGAAACAGACTGCAAGCTAAACCTGGTGTCGTCGGAAAACATCACACAAGCCCACTGTTGCGGTGTCCACAATGCATGCTCTCTACTCCAGTCTAACCGCAGGCGACAGTGAGTTGCAGTAAGTGGAACGCATCTGACAGGTCTACGAGCATATAGACCAATCTGCCCTAAGCGTCTGTACACGGTCTGCCTTGAAATTGTCGTACCAGTGGCTGAAGAGAGCTCACGAGACAGGTCTAAGGCTGTGCTCCGCCTGTTTCTTTTGGCAGTAACTGCCAAATACCGATCCTCATTCGGCGTTGCAACTCTGGGGCGACCTGTGCTGTAACGTCTACTCACATTACAATCATCTTGGAGTCGTTGCCAAAGCCTGGAGATGACACTCTGGGCAATTCCAAGTTCGTCTGATACTTCCAGTTGGGTACGCTCACATTCCATACGGCCGATAATTCTACCACGTAAAAAATCATCCATATGCGTCCTTTGTGTCATAACTATTCGGTTATTGCACTGAAATGCTTATAAAGCGCCTGCGAAATTTTACTTCTTTGCCTGTATTCCTTATATATCTCTTACACTCTCGTCATTGTGACGTACCATCGGTGTCATCTGGTTACTTCCTGAAATTTGCATATGATTCTTGAAGATGTGTGTAGTGATTTTACAGGTGATATATTTATTTTAGAGTTCGATTTCCGCGTGACTCCGAATTATCCTTAATTTATGGACATGAGTGTAGAACTCGAATCCTAAAGTGCAGAGAAAGCTAATCTTATGATCTCACCGCGAATTATTCGCTATAATCAACATAAAAAACTTAGTAAACAACTGAAGTGAGATTTAAAAAATTAAAAAGATAAAAAATTAAATGGTGGATAATTCATATGCATGTATGTATTTCCCTAGTAAATTAGAAAAACTTCGGCACTTTTTGATCTCCAGCACACAAGACTGTTGCCATTAGGCAAATTGTATAGCATTCATCTTTCAGTTTTAATTAACAGATTCAGCTATTTGAAAGCAACGAGTTGCCACTGTCCACAAAGAAATACTTATTATCTCTACACACCAGCGTGTTGCCAATTCAGTTAGAACTAAGATACTTAATTTTCAGATTTAATCTTTGTTTTACTGAGAAATAAACTAAGTGATAGTAAAGTAATAAACGCAGTCTTAAAAATAGTTTTTCCGCTTTTTATTCCGATTGATTTAAGTAAAGATGTGTTTAAATCGCGGCATGTCTAATTAAAAAAATTAAATACTTTTATACTCATTAAAATCATTATATGGTTTTTTTTTTCTTTTTTACGATAATTCTTTTAGGCGGCTGACTGTTCAAGAGGCTATTTTGCAAAGAAATTATATAACGAATATAAAAATGAGTGTAGGAACCTCTGATACACTACCGGGAATTATAAAGCTATGCTGTATTAAATACTTTCTGATATCACTCTTTTATTTTATGTGGTGTATGTGCGAAGAAAGCAAAAATTAATAATAAAGCTAAGAAGAGAAAAAAATGTGCTAGCAGGAGTGAGTCCGAGAGCAAAGTGGAACTCTGTGATGCTCAGTGACGGCATTAAAAAAACCTCAACAACCATCTGATGCGAAGTTAAAATTTGAATCCTTTCAGATTTCTTTCTTCCTTTTTAATTTTTTATTTAATTATTATCTCTTGATTATTTAATTGATTTTGCATTGTACTGCATGACTTTGCTAAAGTTCGACCGCCTCATCCGCGACCATAAGCGCCATTCGGGGCAAATTATTCTCAAAATAGGATGGAAGGATGTGGAATTTCTTTCCTTCCAGCATAGCTCTTTCCGGAGAAGAAAAGACTTACACGTGACCTTTCACGTCGCAGCAAGTGATAACGCCCCTTTTGGACGAGTCTATGTGTTTTGGCAGAATGCCAGACAGGGTTGCGTTTGAGACGGTCGAACTACAATTTATTAGCCCAAAGGGGCAGGAGCCCAGAAAGGCTAGTAGTTTCGAAAAAACATTTTGCGTTGCTTCACTTTTCAAATTGTTGTCACCAAATATTATCGCCCTATATTATATATATAAAAAATTAAACAATGAAGAATCTACATGATTGTACGTATACTTCTCTCACTGTGAAAAAACAATGGTATCTAGAGACATCCAGTTTTGAATAACGTAGTCCTCCACTCGAATATGGGCATCTGGAAGCCCAAATTTGAAATCTGAAATATGTTTTATTATCTACTTCATATTTTGTAAAACTTTAATGAAACTCAACGATTTCAAAGCGAGCAATGGCAACACTGTGCGAAAAAAGAAACAATTTTGTTTTATTTATCTCCAGCTCGCGAGACTATATATCGTAAATCGTAAGGATACGCTGTTTTCAAATATTTTGTGATATTGCTGTTGAATTGAATGTTATGTAGTTTAAGTGCGAAGAACATGGTATTTAATAAATTAAGGTAACGTACAAAACGTTAAAGAAAACGCCCTTTTGAGTGTAATGCAAAATCTAAAAGCTTTCTTTAAAAAAAAAAAAAATTAATTTAATTTAATTAATTGTAATCTTTATCGAAAATGTCTAAATTTTTGTTCATTCCGGTTATGTATAACACTCACTCATTTGAAGACCCCTGTAAAATTCTCTGACTTTTCAAATTCACAGAAACAAATTTGGCTTTATTTATCAGCAAAATTCTTTGTCCCGAGAAGAAGAGAACTCGAGTGAAATACATTAAACATGTAATAATGATAAAGTTTGAGAACAAGCTTCTGAAAATTCAGCTCCAGTTTACTATTAAGGAGTTATTTGATATATTAACTAACACAGAATGATTTAATATTCTGGTAAACTCAGCAAAGGTTGGTAACTCTCAAGAATTTTGTTCACGTACGGGTGTACACATAAAAAGTAAAGTGGACTCGGAATCTACTATGAAAGTTGTGCACTCGGTGAAAGTGGATTCTTTTCAGCTAGATCTAAGTGGATAAAATGCTTCAGCCTGAGTTCTGCCATTTCTAGAAAAACGCAGACGAATATTAACAAC